GAGAGAGAGAGAGAGAGAGAGAGAGAGAGAGAGAAAGAGAGAGAGAGAGAGATAGAGAGAGAGAGATATAGAGAGAGAGAGAGAGAGAGCGAGAGCGAGAGCGAGAGCTGAAACGGATGACTCATGCATAGCAACGGGAAGAGAGCACCCGCTGCGGCCTGGACCACAGCATCGCACGCTGACTTCAGGAATGTCCGCGGCCAGGCGGCGAAGAGCAGGGCGCGCATCGCCCGGCGAGCCGCCGACCACCTCCAGCTCGTGGTTCCGTGGGCTGAGCAGAGAAGCCTCAGAGAAGTGAAGATCTGTTGAAAGGAAATCAGACCAACTAGAAACTTTGAGATGCTGAGAGCGTGAGAACCCAAGAAACCCCCAGAAACCATGCCGCCTCTCTCTCATCCTGTCTCTGACGAGCCGCTGCCACATGGCCGCTGCACGGTCCATGGCCTCTCTCATTCCCTCGTCTCGGAGCTCCATGGTGCGCAGCGCGGAGTGGCGAGCTACCGCACGATCGGAGGCTCTCTGCAAGGCGTCCACATCGAGGTGACCTGGGCCCCCGTAGCGGACGCACCTCGAGTCACTCAGAGCTCAGAGCCGCTCAAAGCTTGGCTTCTGTTCCACACTCCAAACCGAGCTGGGCACCAATCCACGGGGGACTTCCCAAACTCCATGATGTACAATCTGTAGGCGCCCTCTTCGTCTGGTTGCATGCCTTCCGCCTTCCAAAAGACAGCGAAGAAAAAAAAAAGAAGAGACCCCAAGGGGTGGCATATCCGATGTTTCGGTCCCGGTCCTGGCCGGCGTCCTGGCGAGAATCCTGGGAACCCTCGAGCTGGATGGCTTCGGCCAACGCGTGGACGTCTGCAGAGCGCAGGACCATGGCGGAGGTGGCGACGAAACCCAACTCCCGTCGCACCAGCTCCACTAAGCGGATGCTCTGCCTCGGCGCGGAGAGCAGACTGGAGAGAAGTACTCTTCTTATACTATTCTTACTATTCTTGCTAGGATCACTATTCGAATTCTTATCAGCAGTAGTGGTCGTAGTAGTGGAGGCGCATTTTGCATGCCTGCAAGATCTGCAAGCAAGCGACAAGGAGTCTAAGGAGGCCAGGCTCGGTGGACGCCCGCCCACGCGCCCCACGAGGATCGCCAGGGTCGATTCGAGACTCGAGGACTCGGCCCGGGAAGCCGAAGGTGTGGGCGCTCCTTTAGGTTCTAGGGTTTAGGGCTTAG